TCACTCACCTGACATCAATGTTCCACTCAATTCTCCTCTCCTGCACAATGCTTGGTCCGGTTGTCCCAGCTTATTGATGGTCACAATGGCCACCACCCCCTATTGCAGAATCAAGGAGAGTTTCCTCTGACCTCTGAGGAACTTGCCTGTTCCTCTTGGTCTTCCAAAGTGCTGTTCTGCCCCAGCTACAGACCCCAAAGAATGCAGCACACATAAAGTCCGTACAAACCTTATTTTACTAATTAAGGATACTAATGAGCTTTCTTAGTAGTTTTTTTTGTTTTTTTTTTAAAATTTGATTTATATGCCGCCCTTCTCCGGAGACTCAGGGCGGCTTACAATGCGAATTGTACGAATTTCAAGTTACAGTTTAAGTCAGTTTTCTGAACAAGAGCTGTTAATTTAACTTCATTAACAGCCAACAAGAATCCAAGAATAATGACTCAATTCTGAGGCACAGTATTTCAGATAACCGTAATCTTACTGTGATTGGCAGAATGCCCAGAAGCAATTTGCAGGAAAACTGACGAGAGAAGCAAGAGCCGATCAAATGTTTCTGGAATCAAGACGTGAAGGAATATGAACGAAGTTGTTTCCTGCAAATTGCATCAATTGTCGTCCTTCCTTAAATAGGCTAGGGGAGTGGCCAATTAGCCCCAAGCCTTACTCTCGAGGAGACCTCCTCCTGAGGAGCCACTCCTGCCTTTTAACAGCTCTGTGTGCTCGTGCATCAAGAAGAGGCTCCTCCTCTTCTTCCTCTTCACTTATGGGAGCTTCTGGAGGTTCTGAAAGCCCTGGCTGAATCTCCGCCTCTAGCACCACATCTTCTCCAGCCTCCTCATTGTCTGACTCGAGTGCCAGCTGCACAGGCTGCTGGCGCATCACCACACCAGCCTCCTCGCTGTCGGAATCAGCTACTAGCTGCACAGGCCGCTGATGGGCCACAACAGGTACCTCTCCTTCTTCCCTATCCCTACAAGACAGATCCGGTCCGAAGGCCCCTCTGCAGCGGTTCATCAGTCTAGGATTTCCCAAGGCTCATTAGAGTCCGCTAATCCCCGACTGTATCGCCGCAACGCTTATGGTCGAATCCCTGAAAAGTTAATTTTGAAGGGTTATATACATGTAATCCTCAACTTACAGTTCATTTAGTGACCGTTCAAAGTTACAATAGCGCTGAAAAAAGGTGACATGACCATTATGACCATTGCAGCATCCACATGGTCAGATGATCAAAATCTGGATGCTTGGCAACTGATTCACATTTATGATGGTTGCAGTGCCCTAGGATCACCTTTTGCAATCTTCTGACAAGCACAGTCATTGGGAAAGCCAGATTCACTTAACAACTGTGTTACTAATTTAACCAGTGCAGTGATTCATTTAATAAATGTAGCAAGAAAAGTTGTAAAACAGGGCAAAACTCACTTAACAAATTTCTCACTTCGCAACATAAATTTTGGGCTCAATTGTGGTCGTAAATCAAGAACTACCTGTCCTTATTTTTTTTTAAAAAGCATTCCATCATTCCTAGCTGGGTACTGTTGACTGGCTAAGGTTGGGGAAGGAAATTTGGATTAAGATACATGCTGATGAAATCAAGTAGGAAAGTTCTTAAAAGGTTTCTGTCAAATAATGGATTTTGGAAAATTAAATATTCTAGAAAGTATTTTGTGATATGAGGAGTTGTTAAAAAAATTTACATTGGAAGTTGAATGAATTTTAATAATTTGCTTTATTTCATTCTATGCAGCCATCTTTCTACAGTTCTGGGAAACAAATTTGACCATGGAGCAGAAGCCATTGTGCCTACTCTATTTAATCTGGTCCCTAATAGCGCCAAAGTAATGGCTACTTCTGGATGTGCAGCCATTAGATTTATTATCCGTGTGAGTATATTTCTGTTACTTTAAAAAGCTACTGCCAATTAGGCATATAATTTATTGATTACTAATCATCAAGCATTATTTTCAGCAAAATAAACTGTACATTTGCCGTAGACAGGGGTGTCAAACTCTTTTCATTGAAGGCTGCATGAGGGTTGTGATTGACCTCGGGGGACTAGGTGGGCGTGGCCAGCATGACATCATTCATCTCAATGGTCCGAACTCCGGACCTAAACAAAACAGAAGCTTACTTGCTCTGGAACCAAGCAAAGTGTTTCTTTAGGCCGAAGTCTTGGCACGAAATGAGTCTTGTAGCAAGTCTGTGGAAAAGTCAGCATTGGGAACATTCGCCTTCCAGTGCTTCGTTATAGGCATCTTCCAGCCCCTGGGCACGACTCCACCCGGTAGCCAGGCTATCAGGTATGCCTCCTTTCAACACTCAAGAAAGAAAAACCCCAACTCCATTTTCATAGAGAACGGTACTTTTACTGAGTATGAACTGAATGCAACCAAACAAAAGCAAAGTCTGAGGCAATAGGCATGAAAATCACATTTATTTATTTATTTATTATATTTCTATACCGCCTTTCTCCCGTAGGACTCAAGGCGGTGCACAGCCAAGAAAAATATAGACACACAAACATCATAAAATTGCTAATTAAAATTATTACTTAGTTTGGCCAATTAAATAAAACCCAGAATTAGATAACATTTTAAAAATCATTCACATGTTCATATGTTTAGCCCCACCTGTTGGAACATCAGGGTCTTGAGGGCACGGCGGAAAGCACAGAGATCAGGGATATTCCGTATCTCCGGGGGCAGTTCATTCCAAAGGGTTGGAGCCCTCACAGAGAAAGCCCTCCCCCTGGGAGTCGCCAGTTGGCATAATTTGACTGACGGTACCCTGAGTAGTCCCTGTGAGAACAAACTGGTTGGTGGGAGGCTATTGGTGGCAAAAGACAGTCTCGTAGGTACCCAGGTCCTAAGCCATGGAGCGCTTTAAAGGTGATGACTAACACCTTGATTCGCACCTGGAAGACCACCGGGAGCCAGTGCAGCTCGTGCAGGAGAGGTATTACATGGGCACAACGAGCTGCGCCCATAATCACCTGCGCAGCTACATTCTGGACCAGCTGGAGCTTCCGGGTGCTCTTCAAGGGGAGCCCCATGTAGAGAGCATTACAGTAGTCCATATGGGAGGTGACTAGAGCATGAGTGCCGTGCGCAAGGCGTCCCGATCCAGAAAGGGATGCAACTGGCGGATCAGGCGAAAGGCCCCCCTGGCCACGGCCGTCATGTGCTCTTCTAAAGATAGCCGTGAATCCAGGAGGAGGAGAGTTGCGAGCCCTCTCTATGGGGAGTAAGGTCTCATCCCCAATTGTCAGCGATGGTACCAGCTGACTATACCGGGACGCCGGAAGCCACAGCCACTCGGTGTTGGAGGGGTTGAGTCTGAGCTTGTTTCTCCCCATCCAGATCCGCACGGCCTCCAGGCAACGGGACATCACAGTAAGAGCATCATTGGGGTGGTCCGGGGCGGAGATATATAGCTATGTGTCATCAGCATACTCATGAACACTCATCCCGAAACCACGGATGATCTCGCCTAGAGGTTTTACATAAATGTTGAACAGAAGGGGTGAGAGGATTGATCCTTGCAGCACCTCACAAATAAGGTGCCTCGAGGTCAACCTCTGCCCCCCTGCCAACACAATCTGCGACCGGTCAGAGAGGAAGCAGGAGAACCACCGAAGCACAGTGCCCCCTATTCCTAACCTCTTCAGCCAGTGCAGTAAGATACCATGGTAGCCTATGCTGAAGCTCCGCGGGCCAATAAAATTACAAAAAAAACATTTGTTAAATTGCTGGCTTGCCCGCCCCTCGCCCACCACTATTTATTGGCAATAAATAGTGGTGCGGTGAGGCGGGGCAAGCCAGCAATTTAACAAACGGTTCGGCTGCACCACTGGCTATAGGGCAGCCCTTTGAAGCCCCGCGGTAAGAATTTAAACAGTTTTTTTTCCTCTAGCCATCAGCTGGGACTCAGGAGGCAGCAATAGATTGGGAGTGGGCGGGGTAAGCGAACGGCCGGCGATCCAACAGAGCAGAGAGTGAGGGTGAGTGAAGGCGTGGGGGGGGGCAAGAGAGGGCTTTGGTGACCCCTGTGAAATGGCCGTTCGACCCCCAAAGGGGTCGCGACCCCCAGGTTGAGAACCGCTGTTCTAAGTGGTCTTCAAGTGCATTGCAATAGTGGAGTCTAGGGCATAACTGATTGTCTGAAGAGCCTCCTGGTCAAGAAAAAAGACACAACTGATACAGTAGATGCTGCTGTGCAAAGAACTTTCTGTCTACAGCCATCAGCTGCATATTGAGCAGGAGCTTTGAGTCCATATAAAGATCCCCAGATCATGCACTAAATAAGGAGGTGCTACCCCATTCAATGAGTTTAAATGGACTCCAGAGGATGGTAGAGGACAGGAAGGCCTGGAGGAACATTGTCCATGGGGTCACAATGGGTCGGACACAACTTCATAACTAACAACAACAACCCCACCCAAGTTTAAAGATGGAATATCTTCAGATTCAGTGGCCCTCACAAAGAAACATACTTGGAGGTCTTCTAGTCCAACAGCCTGCGCAAAGCAGGAGACCTTATATCTGCAACCATTGATAGGATTGAGTCAGAAATGGTTCCTCCCCTCCCAGACTAATCTTGACAGCCTCATTTGGCCAGTCTGGTGTTAAAAGACACAATTGGGTATCCTCAATGTATCCTAGCCAACAATTGTGGAATCAGCCCCACCCCAAACGAAGAGAACACCCCAAAGTTCTGTCTTCCTATTCCGTCAGAGCCAGTTAGGAAGGATACCGTCTTCCCATTCCCTCAGAGCCAGTTAGGAAGGATACCATCGTCAATAATATTGAAAGCAACTGAGAGATCAAGAACCTCCCCCCCACCCACGGCCGCCATTGGAAGGCAAAAGCAGATTTTGATGGATTCTTGGCTCCAGGTTGTAGCCCTGACCTATCTTCAAGGAGCAAACCCTGGTCAGATAGCATAGACTGCTTTTCAAAATGCTTCAGCGACCGTGTATCTCCTCATGTCTTGGACCTACCAGAATTGATGCCAGCAAAAAATCTGCTCAGCAAGATCATTTCAAAGGATTTCGCCATCCGGCTGAACCCCACCAGCAGTGCAGCAAGGGCCACAAATGCGTTGTTCAGCAGTAAAGATTTCTTCCTTCAGGGAACCAAGGGAAAAAAGTTTCAAAGGCTTGTTTTGCTTTCTTTGCCTCTTTCCTGGGCCTCTCTTGGCCATCATTCAGCATCACGGCTGCTTCTGTGGCTCCTTGCATGGCCAGAGTGGCAGACAGCCTGGGTTCCAGTGCCAAGATCTTAAACAGGGAGTGGCAAGTTAATGGCCTCAAGTTAATGGCCTCAAGTGGAATGGGACGACTCAGTGGCCAGGTGGGCATCGCTGAGTAGGCATGGCTGGGTGGTCGCGGCCCGGTTACGACTGGCCGGAGAAGTGCAGTAGTCTTAGCCCTGTTGATTCAGGACTGCTGGGTCAGGATGGAACAAGTCACATGGCTAACTTGATGAAGGGACAACTCAGTGCCCCACAATCTTCTCACCTCCCCAAACTGCCATCAGCCAAGCATGTGCACATGCACACCTTGCATTTCAGGTTTGGGGACTTCTCCCCAAGCCCAGGCACGATTGGCAGTTTGCCAGCTCAGATGTGGCTAAGTCTCCAAGCTTGAAATGGTATATGTGTGTGTGGTGTGTGTGTGCGTGTGCGTGTGCGCATGCGTGCAGCACGCCAAAGGAGACATTCTTCTCCCAATCCCAGATATCTGAGCACTGGCATTTCCCTATCCAGTGCCCCCTCCCGGCAAAGCAGGAGGACAATGCTGCTGCACATGGAAGGACAGAGGAGAAAGTTTTAACGAAGCAGTTTCCTCCAAGTCCAACTTCTGCCTTGACAAATCTCTGGAGAGAAGGAGGGGGTGGCAGGGGAGCTGTGGGGGAGGCTGGCCAGGCAAAACAGGAGGCGAGGGTGACATTGCTGCATGTGGAGGTGAGCAGTCAAACTTCTGCCTTGACAGATCTCTGGAGAGCAAGAAGAGGAGGCAGGGGAGCAGTGCTCCCCTATCCTGCATGAGGGAGGCAAATGAAACAAATATTTTTTTAAAATAAACAGGTTCCCGCATGTAATGAATTATTTCATTTACAATTTGAAGACTTCAGAAACTCTTGACTTAATTCTGAGATTGCTTGTTATTCAGTGGACTTTCTCCCCATTTTTGCCCGCATTTTTTAGCTAACGTTTTATTAGATATTAACAGATTGCTGCATAATTTACTGCTTAGAAATAGCATGACATGTATATTTGCCGCAGGTCATGGAAGCAGAATATATAATAGAGTTCATACATTGATCTGTTTTATATATAAAATCATCATAAATGTTACTGTCATTTTTGGTGCTGATTTACATGTGGCTAGTTCTTAAAGCAATCGTCCATTTTATATAAGCCAATCTAACAGCAAATCATTTATTACAAAATCATTGGCGATGAAGATTATTTTAAAACTATAGAGTTGGAAAACAATGTAGAGATTTTAAAGGGGAACTATTGAGCATGTCATTGCTGATCTGCACCAGAGCATTGTGCAGTCTTCAAGCACTCATTTATAATATATTAATGATGTCATTTCTTTCTTCTTTTTCTTGATCGAACTACAAAGATCTCTGGAGAGAAGGAGGGGTGGTGGGGGAACTGCATGAGGGAAGGCTGGCCCAATCTGCCCGCATCCTTACCATGCATGCTTGGAAATGGGGATTCCCTTTCAAGAAGGGCCAGCCTCCCTCATTCAGGACCAGGGAGCACTGTTCCTCTGCCACCCCTTCCTTCTCTCCAGATATCTGTCAAGGCAAAAGTTGGAGGAAACTGCTTCCTGCAAACTTTCTCCTCCATGCTTCCATGCACAGCAGCCTCATCCTCTGCCTCCTGCTCTGCCAGGAGGGGGCACCGGACAGGGAAATACCAGTGCTCAGATATCTGGGACTGGGAAAAGAATGTCTCCTTTGTCATGCTGTGTGCGCACACACATACACACACACACACACACCATTCCAAGCTTGGAGACTTTTATCCACATCTGAGCTGGCAAGCTGCAGTCATGCCTGGGTTTGGGGAGAAGGACTTCTCCTTCCTCTGTGTACAAAAGCCCCAAACTTGGGCTGCGGTCTGTATACGTGTGTGCACGTGCACACACTTGGCTGCCGGGAGTTTGGGGAGGTGAGAAGCTTGTGGGGCACTGCATTGTCTCCAAGTCGAGTTAGCTGGTGCGATTTGTTCCGTGCCATCCCCAGGTAGCAAGGTGGAGTTGGCTGCACCTACCGAGTCAGCTGTGCCGAGTGAGTGGCATTGAGCCAACCATGTCAAGTTGGCCATCTCATCTAACCATGCCTACCTAGTTGTGGCGACCTGGCTGCGACCACCCAGCCATGCCTACTGAGCCACTCCCACCCTTTCCCAAGAGCTGAGATGCCAAACCCTGAGAGAACAGAGGAAATCTGGGCATGGGAGTGCGGACTGGAAAGCCTCAATGCATGCCTGAATGCAAATGAAGCTTCAGGGGTCTCTGCTTACAGGGGTTCCTCCTGGGACTCTGAGCTGCCCCTGCCAACCCTGCATTCTTTGGGCTGCTTGGCTGAGCAAAAGGGTAGGCAGCCTCTGAGCAGTCCACAAGGGAGGAAAAAGACATTGTCCCTGTCCTCGTCCAGCCCTCACACTCCTTAGTTTGCAGCCCTCTGACAGAACTCTTGTACAGCTAGACTACAACTACCAACTTCCAGCTCCCTTTGGCAGTGTATGGAGCACCCAAGTTTCCTGCCCCTCACTCATGACCAGGCTGCATTAGTGATTAGGATCATCCAACTGGAACCTGTCAACATGGAGAAAATAGCAGGTTACCAGGAAATAATCTGATAAGAGTTAAGCTGGCAAAAAGTAGCTTCAATTGCATTCCATTTGGTTTCATTAAATGTATGATAAAGAGAGCTATCTGGAGTCCGGTATCCAAATGCTCCTGGCTGAATCCAGTTCTAGAAGACACTAGAAGATATTCCTCCTGCTGAGAGAGGCTGATCCAGTCCAGCACAGGCCTCCCGACCCCTCACCTGCCCATCTTCACAGCCATGGGAGCAGCAATTAGTGCTCCAACCAGGCCCCCCAAAGGATACACGGCAACAATGAAGGACCAGACCAGCGTGATCACTTTTGCCTCCAAGGCAGCTCCAGTGCGATTCAGCCAGGTTTCATTAATAAAGGACTGGATGAACTACAGGATGGAGAAAAAAAAATATTGTGTGGGAGAAATCAGCTGGATCACACAGAGCCCCACCCACTGAAAACCAGCTGCTCTGGGATCTGCTGGTGTGGCAGTGGGTAGGAGCCATGAAAACCACTAGAGGAGGTCTGAATTTAGTTACTCCACAAGCTATGACTCCTCAAAAGCTGCAGGAAGAATCTGGGAAATATCCAGAAAGCCTGTGCCTTAGCTGAAGGGCAGCGGTCTCAGAGGACATTTGTTGTTTCTGAACCCTCCTCACAAGAGGACACTGCTACACATCAGACGAGTTAGGAGATAATGTTAGGTTTCTCCCAAGGCCGACCTGTCCTGCCCTTCACCTTGAGAGATGAGGGGGGCACCTGCCAAAGAGCTTATGAGATGAGCCCAAAATCTGGGGGGAGGGTGGAGGATGAGAGGCTATCCCTCCCTTGGGGGCCTGTTCCAATGAGAGGTGATCAAGGTGTGGTAACAAAAGGGCCACCTTACCACAGTGGGGGCGTTGATGATGGTGAGATTGTAGCCATACTGAAAAGTGCCACCAATCCCAGCTGCACAGATTGTCAGGATCAGGATCTTACCTCGAACCTGGGGAAGAATCACAAGTAAAGTTGGCAAGTGCAGCACCTGGGTGGGAAGTTTTTTTTTTCCCCACCGCGCATGCGCAAGATGGCGGTTCCCCGAAGTGTCGGCTGAGATTGGGGATGTAAGAACGAGCGACGGGAAACTCGGCGATTCTACATTCTACATCGGGGGGTGCTACAGGCACTGTGGTTGCTGTAAGATCGATAGCCCCCCTGATGAATCTGCTGGGATTAGGTCAGCGAGTATTGTGGAGGCCTTGTCGATGGTGGTGAGTGCCACACCGGAGATGAAGGGACTATGGCCCAGCAGATTATTCTGCTGGGAATTACATCTAATAGCCCCTGAAGGGCGTGAGGCCGGGAAGATCTGGATCTGGGTTGTAATATCCCAGCGTGGACAGACTATGACTGTGGGGTTGGTGGACCTGAAGAAGATCTGGGGATTGGGAGTCGGCCGGAGGGGAAGTGGTAATTCAATTCAATTCAATTTTATTTATTGATTAGCCCTTTGGGCCATATCAAGTGCAGAATTACAAAGACAAATCATTACAAAGGTTTGGTAAAACAAATTAAGTAAGATTGGAATAACTCGCAATTAAAATACAATTAGAATAAAATACGATCTAAAATAAAATCGGGATAAAATACAATAATTTAAAGTACCATTTAAATATAATTAAATTTATATTATAATGTCGCCCCTGCATCTACCCAATCAGTGTTAACTGCTCTTAAAATTACATTGTTAGATCAAGTGATCATTCTTACAATCTACCGCATTTTGCTGCACCAACTTTGTCCTCCTTCCCAACAACTTTACCACAAATCTAGCAATCCATTTTACCAACTGCAAGTTGGAACCTAACAAACAATATCGCAAAAAGTGCTCTTTAGACTTAGGGGTGCTGGTATAAAAGATCCTGCCCAGTTGATGTTCCCTCAGGTCTGAATATAGGGGGCAATCAAAAATTACGTGGGACGTTGTTTCGATTCCCCCGTCCCACATAGACAGACCCTTTCCCTTACAGGAATACCCTTAATTAATTATCCATCTTGCTCTTCCCTGGGGCCTCTCCCTCCCCCATTTTTGATGCCCCCCCCCGGACTGTTGCCTGCCTTGGTTTGGCCCGCCTGCTTATTCATCTTCAGTTGTTTATTGGGACCTTGTCATCCTCCTCCTTTTTGAACTGCCATCTGATCCCTGGCTCCTCTCTCATCGCGATGTGTTACACCTCATCTTTTTACCCCCTATTACTGCCTTCATTGGACTCGATGTATTGGACAGAGACATGGAGTTACAGGCTGAAGAGCTTTGAGTCCTGGTGGATTGCTGCTGCATCATGTCCCTAGGACCTGTTCCATTACTCCGCTGGTGGTTGCTCCCCACCTACCCACCGTGAGAGGGTGGTTGCGGCTGGTTCTGCTGGATTCATTCGCTGCAGCTTCTGGACTCCCCCACCACTGTGAGAGAGTGGTGGACATGCCAGCCTGGTTTGCCGGCCTGGTTTACTCCTATTTTGTCATTCTTCCCCTCTTGTTTACCATCTTGGTCCCCTGTCGCTGTCTTCCCACCCACTTCTCGTATTTATTCTGGCTTACACTTCGGTGACTCTCCTCGCTCTGCGAGATGCCCCCCTCTCGCAGACATGGCCTTCGGATTTATCGAAGGCCTACCTCAAGGATGGGTTTTGGAACCCCGAGTGGTGGCATGCTTCTAAGCGTGGTCTGAGGGGTTTTTTAATTAAGACTTTTAACCAAATTTTAAGAGGACCCGGGAGGTGGGTGGTGAGGGATCAGCCGGGGGCGATTCCTACAGTTCAGCAATTGGGCCGGTCGGATGGTTGTGGGGGGAGGGGGGAGGGGGAGGGAACGATGAGGCTCGGTGGAGAGAGGGTCTTCCAATCCCTGTGATGGTTGGGAGAGGCGGAGGTCGGGAGGGGGGGCTTGGAGAGCGCCCCCGCTTTGTTCAAGCGGTGGCGCTCTCCTGCCCCCTCAGCTCATACTGCTCCCCCGACGGCGACAGAGTGCGGAGCCCTGGACTCCGGCTGGTATATTTGAATGCCAGGTCCGTGGTGAACAAGGCCCTCCTCGTTCGAGATCTTATTGGCGAGGAGGATGCGGACCTGGCTTGTATCAGTGAGACTGGCTGGGACCGGAGGGTGGTGTCCCTCTTGTGGATTTATGTCCCCCAGGTTTCCGGATACTTCACCAGCCGCGACTCCAGGGGAGGGGCAGAGGAGTGGCGGTAATTATAAAGGAAAGTCTTAGTCCTAGGGAGGTCACCGTTCCTCAGATAGGCGAGTGTGAATCCCTTCTTTTGAAATGGGACCCTGGAGTTCAGTCAGGGCTGTTGATCACGTACCTCTCCCCCAGCTGCGTGGCCTCAGCCCTGCCCGAACTACTAGATGTCTTAGCCGAATTGGCGGTGGAACTACCCAACCTTGTGGTTGTGGGAGATTTCAACCTGCCGTCGGCTGGTGAGACATCTGAGTTGGTGCGGGAGTTCATGACCTCCATGACGGCCATGGACCTAACTCAGATTGTACAGGGCCCAACTCACATTGGAGGACACACACTCGACCTGATTTTTCTCTCTGGACGGTGGATAAATGATCGTGGGGAGGGGACTTTATCTACTGACCCTCTGTCATGGACCGATCATTCCCTCCTTAGGCTTGACTTTCCCACTGCCATCCCCCGTCGCAGGGGTGCAGAACTGGTAAGATGGTTCCGCCCCAGGCACCTGATGGAACCCGAAAGGTTCCTGATGGAGCTTGGGTCATTTCTCGCCTCCTTAGCTCACGATTCATCCGAGGCCCTTGTCGCAGCCTGGGAACGGGCTGCGGTGGGGGCCCTGGATCGAATCGCGCCTTTGCGGCCTCTGATCCGACGCAGATCCCGGGTGGCTCCTTGGTTCACCGCGGAGCTCAGGGAAATGAAGCATCGGAAAAGACGCCTGGAGGGTGGTTGGAGATCTTCCCGATCCAAGTCTGACCAAACACAACTAAGAATCCATATTAGGTCTTATCTTGTGGCGATGGAAGTGGCGAAACGTAACTATTTCGCCACTCTCATTGCATCTGCAGAAAACCACCCAGCAGCCCTGTTTAGAGTGACAGGCTCCCTCCTTAATCAGGGAGCGAGGGAGGACCCCTTGCAGGGCCTTGCTGAGGATTTTGCACAGTTTCTGCAAGATAAAATCACTCAGATTCAGACCGGGTTGGACTCCGACTGGACAGAGTCCGTTGAGGTGACAGGGGCTAGTTTTGGTGGAAACATCTGGGTTGAGTTTGAGCCTGTTTCGCTGGATGACATGGACAGGATTATGGGTAGGCTGGGGTCCTCCACGTGTTTATTGGACCCTTGTCCCTCCTGGCTAGTTTCGGCAGCCAGAGAGGTGACTGGAGACTGGATCCAGGCTGTTGTCAACGCTTCATTAAAGGAGGGGGTCTTCCCTGCTGCACTCAAAGAGGCGGTGGTTCGACCCCTCCTTAAGAAGCCTAACCTGGACCCTGACGTTCTTAACAACTACCGTCCAGTCTCCAACCTTCGCTTTTTAGCGAAGGTTGTTGAGTCCGTGGTGGCGCAGCAATTCCCTCAATTCCTGGAGGAAACTGACTACCTTGATCCTTACCAATCTGGCTTCAGGCATGGTCACAGCACGGAAATGGCATTGGTCGCCCTAGTAAATGATCTCTGGCGGACCAGGGATGGGGGTTGCTCCTCCATCCTGTTCCTTCTTGACCTCTCAGCGGCTTTCGATACCATTGACCATGGTATTCTGCTGCAGCAGCTCGGGGAGATGGGGTTAGGAGGCACTGTTTTACAGTGGTTCTCCTCCTATCTCTCTGCAGTTTGTCTGGGCGGGGGGTCAGGGATCCTCCCAGAGGCCTCTCACTTGTGGGGTGCCTCAGGGATCGGTTCTCTCCCCTTTGCTCTTTAACATCTACATGAAACCCCTGGGTGAGATCATTCGTGGTTTTGGGGTGAGGTATCATCAATATGCTGATGATACCCAGCTTTACATCTCCACCCCTGACCACCCTAGGGATGCCCTTTCCGTGATGTCCCACTGCCTGGAGGCGGTGCGGGTTTGGATGGGAAGGAACAGACTTAGACTCAACCCTTCCAAGACTGAGTGGCTGTGGATGCCGGCATCCCGGGATCTGGAGGTTCCATCTTTAATGATCGGGGGAGAAACCCTTGCTCCCTCTGATAGGGTCTGCAACTTGGGTGTCCTCCTAGATTCTCGGCTGTCCTTAGAGGACCATCTGACGGCCGTAACCAGGGGTCCTTCGCACAGGTGCATCTTGTGCGCCAGTTGCGCCCTTTTCTAGACTGGGATGCCCTCGCCATGGTCACTCATGCCCTCGTTACCTCTAGGTTGGACTACTGTAACACCCTCTACATGGGGCTGCCCTTGGGATGCATCCGGAGGCTCCAGCTAGTCCAGAACGCAGCCGCGCAGGTAGTTACGGGGGCGTCTAGATACTCCCGTGTAACACCTCTCCTGCGTGAGCTGCACTGGCTGCCGGTGGCACTCCGGATACATTTCAAGGTGCTGGTGCTTACCTATAAAGCCCTTCATGGCTTAGGCCCAGGATACTTGCAGGACCATCTCCAGCCGCTCTCCCACCGTCCTGTGTGCTCTCACAGAGTCGGCCTCCTCAGGGTGCCGTCGGCAAAACAATGTCGACTGACGGCCCCCAGGAGGAGGGCGTTCTCTGTGGGACCCTCTGGAATGGATTGCCCACCGAGCTCAGGATAGCCCCCGACCTTCTTTCCTTCTGTCGCGAGCTGAAGACGTGGCTCTTTCGTCAACTCAACGGATCCGTTTGGGGATACATTGTCATAATTTTAAACTGTTTTTAATAGGGTTGCTGATTTTAATTTTATTTCATTGTGATTTGTATTGGAATTTGTCATATTGTAAGCCGCCTTGACTCCCTAGGGAGAAAGGCGGCTTATAAATCGCAATAATAAATAATAATAAGTGGCATCACA